ATGTGATTGAAAGAAAAATGCAACTTTTTCAAAGTTTTAAATTGCCAAGCTCCCGGCTGGAGTATTGGTTTTGCTCAAGCCCTATGATTTGGCCGATGACAGATTCATATATGGCACGGTAGGAGAGACAACTTGCACGTTCTCGTTCATGTCATCTCGGAAGGATACGAAAAGACACCTTTATTAGACATTCTATCATTCCTTACATGTTGTGTTTGAAATAAAATGTAGTGAAAGCAAAATATGACCGTAAGCACTAGCCTCTGCATGAAGGCAGCACACCTGAGGAAGGAGTGGCTACAGATGAAAAATGTAAACTTGAGGTTTTCGCAAACCCCTCATTCCCTCCATACATTCTGGGAATATTTAGGACTACCTGCCAAACTTTTAAATATAAAACTTCTTTGTGGGAGATAAAAAGTGGGGCATATTCATATTTTGATAATAGCATTAGTTTTCTCCCAAATGATTCTATTTTGAACCAGTCTGAAAAGTGCATCATTAATGGTCATTAGAGTTCATAAAAAATAACTCTGGTATTGTTATTGTCTAAGAGATCTGGGGTGATATCATGCATGTGCAGATCACTGTCCAAAACTATGACTGGCCAAAAGGTTTTAGTATCTTCTGACATTTATCAGGCCACTACTTCAGACGCCTCCCATAGCTGCCGACGTTACTGCTAAAGGATATGGTATAAAGTGAATAAAATACAATCTACCCATCCCAGGTCTCTTCAGAAGAGGCCATCAGAGATTCTCAGAATGACATCTTCAAACAGGATACCCTCAGGCTTGATTCCTGAGCTGAGGGCAGATCCTCAACTTCAGGCTTTGAAATTTTTTCTGGAGAAGCATCCTGAGGATGGCAAGGTAGCGTGTGTGTATGTGTGGGTGTGTGGGTGTGTGGGTGTGTGGGTGCGTGGTGTGTGGTGTGTGTGTGTGATGTGTGGTGAGGGGGTGTGTAGCGTGTGGGAGTGTGGGGGTGTGGTATATGGGTGTGTGGTGTGGGGGTGTTTGGTGTGGGGGTGTGTTTTATGTGGGTGCGTGGTGTGTGGGTGTGTGGTGTGTGAAATGGGAAGGGAGCAGAACAGGGAGGACTGGCGTGCTGTGGGCTCCACTGAGGAGCCATTTCCCCACACTGATGGACGGGAAGGCAGCTATCTTCAGTGCACTCTGAAATCCCACTCCCAGGCTGAAGTCAAAGACTTTTTGAGTATTTATAAGGATGAGATCTGACCACACCAAAAAGGCTAAGCTAGAGGAAACACCACACTTGCCAGCTTCATCCTTCCCGTGTACCCTTTGCACCTCCACCTCCTCCAGCCTGCCTAAAAAGGAGATATAGTAAACGAAAAGGAAGCTGAAAGAAATACTCATTTTATTTGGAAAATTATGGGAAAATGATGACCACATTGGATAAGTAGAAACTTATTATCAAAAAGATCTGAAAGCTAGCTCTGGGGCTGATGTTTCCTCTTCATTCCAATGTCAACTGCCCTCTAATTCCCACTCAGGGCTCTGAGCAGAGCCATTAACCGTGGAGTGCAGCTCACAAAGATTTCTACAGCACGATGTATTACCTGAAGCCCTGCGGCACTCTTGATCAGCATCTTTCTCTAAAGCCACTGATGAACATGCATGCATACACGTGTTGCATTCTGGAGCACTGGTTAGAACACTACATTCTAAGGATAGATGGTAGGGTCCTGGCCGCACTGACTGTGTGGCCACAGCCTCTAGAGTAAGCTGCAGGCTCCCTTGGGCCAGTTCTTTATCCTGTATCCTTTCCCCTGCCAAACACCCTTTCTCACATAGCCTTGTCTTAATCTCTGGTAGTCAGGGGCTGATGTTCTGACATAACCACACCAAACGTTCATCCTTGGAATTTTGTATGGTTTTCTTTACTTGGCATTTTTAAAAACTTTGGTATGACAAAGACAAGCCCTTTGTAACTGACTTGAATCAAACAGAAACAGAACTAAAGTTACTTATCAGCACAGGTCAGGGGTAGCTGGGTTGATGGAAGAAAATGGTATTATCAACCTGAAGGTGATGTAGTCCCTGACTAACATGGTATGCCTGCTTGATCTCACCACTCTCTGGAAGCCATAACCACACTGAAGAAGATGATCTTCCCTGATATAGCATAGAACTTTTGATTAAGGGTCCATAACTCCTCTCCCCCATGAGTCGACTGATTAATTTCAATTGTGAGGTAGAGTAGCTTCCTTTCTCCCACTTCATTTATAGCCTTACATGGACATTGGAGCTTCTCATTTCCTGTAGTTTAAACAACACGCCTGGGTCCACGAAGGTAACCTATCCTGCCAGTTATCTATGAGGACACTGACTAAAGAAGAAATGAAAGGTTTATATTCTGAGAAATTTTAAACCAGTATTTTAAAAAATAAGACTCACTTTATTGTAAAGAACTTGTAATGGGCAGAATGCAGGGAGATGAGTTATAAAAAGGGGATATGAAACTATTTGCTTTTCTTGTTTTTACTTTACCACGGATTTCTTCTTTATTTTCTGGGTAGATATGGGCATAAAATGGAATTGATTATGAAAGCATAAAATCCAAAGTGAAGCTTCATGGCTCTTTTAACTATACAAAAGTTCAGTCAGATGTATATACATTGGGTCTGTCTGTGCAAGTACCTACTTGAATGACTAGGTTAATATAGATAGGCCAGGTTTTTTTATGGGGAAAGTTTTCATCCTAAATTTTGGATTATGAAGATTTTCAAGCTATATAAAATGTACCGATTTTTTCATGGTTGCCATCAGTAACAAAACATGCAAAACTTACCCTGTTCTCTGCACTAGGTCAGGCTAACGTGGTGCTGGGTAGAACTAAATAATATGTAATGAGACCAGAGCAAGAGAACAATTAAAATTAAACCAAGACTTAGGCCAGGCCAATATGAGCATCTTAGCATTGAGGTAGCAGGATCCTAAGCACATAGCCCATGTGTAATCGGTCAAGTGTCAACCAACTCTCAGAACCTCTTATAAACAGATAGTGCATTGGCTCACCAATACATTCATGTCAAATAAAATGCACATTTTCTGTCTCCACTGAAAACGTAACATTTGCTGGGCGATGGTGGCACACGCCCTTAATCCCAGCACTCGGGAGGCAGAGGCAGGCAGATCTCTGTGAGTTCGAGACCAGCCTGGTCTACAGAGTGAGTTCCAGGACAGGTTCCAAAGCCACAGAAAAACCCTGTCTCGAAAAACCAAAAAAAAAAAAAAAGTAACATTTGCTACACAAATATTGATGATGCACTAGCCATGTGAAAAACATTCTTCTATTGCTAAGTATTCACCAGTAAGTGAAATATTACCCCAAACCCCTCACCCGTCACAACCTGTCATTATAGCATTTATTTTTATTGTTGTTCCTAAATTCAGGTTCCTAGTACTTTGAGAAGAATTTTACCATGTTCTTGAGACTTTACATTTCCATGTAGATGTGATGATGGTGATGAAGTTTTGGAACTGGGATATAAAGCATGTATTGGCATACCCTTTACTATGGATAAGAGAAACCAGGGTGCTGATTTCTTGTGGTTGGGAGAAAAGACAGAAGATTTGGTAGTAACAAACAGTTGAGAGAGTCAATCATCCAACAAACCTTCATGGGGTAAGTATTTTAATTTATTCCAGAATATTAACTGAATAATTCTTTTCTAAGACTTTCTGATAATACCTAAGGTTTGAAAAAGCTTCTCCATCACTGGACAGTGGTGACGGACACCTTTAATCCCCACACTTGGGAGGCAGAGCAGAAGCAGGAGGGTCTCATTGAGTTTGAGGCCAGTCGGGTCTACAAATCAAGTTCCAGGACAGCCAAGACTGTTACACAAGAAACCAAAATGCTCCTCCATATATGGGTATGTTTCGAGGCTTAGGATTAGGAAGGACAGTTGGAAAATGATGCTGTAGAAATGGATGCAACTGTGATCTACAGAACTGGACTGAGCTCCTGGAGTTCAGCTAAAGAGAGAGAGGAGGGATCATATGAGTAAGGCATGGTCAAGATTATGATGGGGAAAACCACAGAGAAGTTTACTCAAGCTAATGGGAGCTCACCAACTCTGGACTAATAGATGGAGAACCTGCATGGGACAAAATTAGGTCATCTGAATGTGGGTGACAGTTATGCACCCTGATCTGTTGGGAGGGAAATGGGACCAGGTACATGACCTATTTTTTTTTTTTTGGAGCCCATTCCCTATAGTGGGATACCTTACTCAGCCTTGATACCGGGGGTCTGGGGCCTGGTCCTGCCTCAATTTGGTATGCCAGACTTCATTGACTCTCCAAGGGAGGCTTTACCCCCTCTGCAGAGTGGATGTGAACTGGGATGGGGGGAGGTAGGGGTGCAAAAAGGGAGGTGAGGGGAAACTGGGGTTGGTATATAAAGTGAAAAGAATTTTAAATAGATAAAGAAAAAAGAAATAACTACAACTTTTATGGCCCACGTGGATGCATTCCCCACAAATGAGAAGTTTACACATCAGCATGTTCAATGACCTTTATGGATTTGTATTTCAAACAGCTACATCTATTGTGTTGGTTTAAATGTCCCCTTCCCCTGAACAACTCTTAGGTTGGAAGCATGGTCTCTAGAATGTCAATAATGGTGGGTGGTGAAGCCTCTGGGAAGTCCCCTATTGATCAGCAGAATGCCCTAGGAGGGAACTATAGCGCGTCTCTGGCTTTCAACATGTTTAGAACATGACCACGTCCACACTTGGCCCCATCATAGCTATCTGTCATGATATGATAGAGCAGAGAAGGTCCTCGCCAGAGAAGAACTGACTCAGAGACCTGACACAGAGAACTGCAGGCTTCTTTGTAAGTCGTCACCTAAGATATTATGTTATCACAGCAAGAAACCTACGAATATGGTGCTGACACCAAGACTCTTAATATCAAGGTAAACACAAGCTATGTGTGACTGGAAGGCTGGGGTTAGCCTGCTCTTACCATGACTGAGATGTGTAGGATCCTTAGTTCCTCTTCTGCTGACTCATGTTGGGGTTCTTCTGTTGGGTCTTGTCCAGAGAGACTTGGAGCACCATCTTGGTGATGGATGTGAAAAAGCAAAGTACCATTCTCCAGCCATTGCTGCCTCCAGCGCACCAGAGGGATGTCCTCCGTATTCCCTGAGATCTCTAGAGGGGGGAAAAAAACACCAAAATTACAGGGTGAGATTTTGTACTAGACCAAGATTCCATAGTACTGGTTTCTGGTACCAACAAACCAATTCTGTCTGCAGACAACAAAGGGTTCTGACCGCAGGTAGACTTATTGCTGCTTATAAAACTCAAGGAGGACAAGAGATCTAGAGAAGAGGAGAATTATCCCCCACAGGTCTTTCTATGATAAATCTAGTGAGCCAGACTCTCACCCAGTGAGATAAATACTGACGTGAAAATTCAAATTCTCCCCCTCGTTCTGTGATCAATAGCATCCTTTACATTGCACAGTTTGAACACCTGATAATCCCCGGGGGTAAATACAAGGTTGTTTGCCTCTTATAAATCTGGACGTGTGAGCTCTGCAGCAATTATTCCTAGATGCCCATGAATCTACCAAGGAGGGAGTCGGTAATTATTGTGCAGAGAACTGGCATTTATGGAGCAGTCCTGGGAGGTTACGGAAGAGCCACTGGGGCTGATGGCATGTTTTTGAAGCCATACGCATAGGCTGCATAGTCCATGGGAGATGTCTGATAACTTGTCATGACAGAAAAAGGAGTGTTTTTACTCTTTTTTGTTTGTCTCTTCAGTTTTGCAAAGCAGATGTGATGGGTGAAGAAAGTGGTGTGAAGTGGGCCCTGATCACAGGTATAAACACCCATTCACTTCTCAGGGATTTGGATGAAAGCTAGGCTATCATCAATAGAAAAATACCTAAAAACTCTGTTGCCTTCTGCACTCTAGTACAAGCTATGGTGATGTAGGAAGTCCTTCTGTTTATGTGCTGCTTTTATGGTTTAATAAATAAAGAAATGGCTTTAGCCTATAACAAAGCAGAACTTGGCCAGGTGGGGAAAACTAAACTGAATGCTGGGAGAAAGAAGGTGGGGTCAGTGAGAAGCCATATAGCCCCGTAAGAGACAGTAGAGGCAGGTAAGCCACAGCCTTGTCGTGATACACAGATTAATGGAGATGGGTTAATTTAAAATATGAGTTAGCCAGAAATATGCTTAAGCTATTGGCCAAACAGTATGGCAAATAATATAATGTGTGGTTATTTTGGGGCTGAGCAGCTGGGAACAAAAAAGTGGCCTCCTAAAACACTATGGTGCTGCTGCAGGAACACCCTGGGTACATACCCTCTTTTCTCTTAGTCCTAAGCGATATCACATCGGGCATCTTATAATAGAGAAAATGGATTAATCTACCTTCTCCAGGACTTTGCTTAACCTTCAGACCATGTTTCCCTTAACAACTACTACAACCCCAAAGGGGGACCAGTGTTCTGCTATACACGCTTTAACAAATCACCACTTTATAAAATTTCATTTTTAAAAGGCATACTTCTTCTCTCAAAATTTATTAGTTTTAGCCAAAAAATTATGACATAGATAGAAAAAAGATTTAATAGACACATTTAAAATATTTTCTCATCAAGTATCACAACCACAAAGCGGAAAGCAACTTTAAATATGTATAGAATTTATAATTATCCTTCACTATTTATGGAAGAGCTGGTATTATTTATTGATTTAATAGTCACAGACTAGACATGCACTATGCACCATGCCCTGTGCTAGGCACTCAGGTTCTAATTGAAATGATGACCTTCACAATGTTTTAAAGCAGTCCACCATGAGTGAAAATGCATAATGAATCCTTGTGGGACTGTGAGTGGAGGAACTGACCTCAGAAAAACATGCAAGAAGGTAAAGAAATGGTCTTCTCTGAGGAAATAGATGCCTCATGGTTAATCGGAAAGGGAAAAGGATGATCAGGCAACCAAAGGAGGATAAGAGGAAGGAACAGATATCTTCTTTGGTCTTCTCTGCAGGTCACTGAGGTTCTGTATGGGACACAAGTCATTGGCCTACCCCTGAAAGGCACTGGTATGATGGCCTCCCTCATTCAACAGCACGCTCCCCAGGGAGAAGAGTAAATTGAGACTGTGAGGGAGAGCTGCCGACAAAGAATCCCCCTTCATGCTTGGCCCTTCTTTTCTGTTGCCTAAAAGGCTCTGTCATCTGTCAGGCTGGTATATCATCTGAGATCTTGCATATGATTGGCCTAGAATCCAGAGAGCTTCAGAAGGCAAAGAGATGGAGAAGAAAAGATTTGCGTTTCAGACCTGGGTTTCAGAAGGCATTTTTGTATTTGTTTGTTTCCGGGAGTGGTGATACTGGCTTCCCACATCCACCCTTCCTCTAAAGAGTCTTCTACATTCAGAATTGAGGAAACACCCTTGGATGCATCTCTGAAGGTAAGCATTTAAGGCAGCAAGAGTCCAACAAATTGAGTGCAGGTCCAATAATCAACGATTCTTGCAGGCACATGGCTGTATATCCTGCAGGCACCGTTCATGCTTTTTCATCCATCAATGTACTAGAAGACTCCTTACAAATGCACCCTTCCCTACAAACATATCCTCCCCAAGCCCCTGTTTGACCACTGCACAGGGAACCAAAGTCTGTATTTATCTCAGCAGAGATAAAAATCATCAGTATTCCAGAACCCACCAGTGCATTTATGGTGTAATCAAGCCCAGCTTCTTTTCAAGAACCATTTCCACCTAGTCTAAGATTTATCCCAGACATGTCTGGATGCCACTCAGCCCCTTCTATAACTATTCAAAAGGATGCAGCACCTGTCCCTTTAAATCACTTCACAAACTAGATTTTGTTTCCCAGCAGATCTTCATCAAGTAGGTCAGACTTATTACCTCTGCTTTAACCAAGCTAGCAAAGATAAGGAAGTACCTGAACCAAAGACACCCAACCTGACAGAGGACAGGGACAAAGAAACCATTAGATGCCCTCTACTCCTTTCACAAAGCAGAAAACATGACCTCAGAATATGTAGACACACATACACACCCACACACACATACAGAGAGAGAGAGAGAGAGAGAGAGAGAGAGAGAACACCCTAAAGTACAAAGGCCATGTGGTGTTTTATGACCTTAACAGCTATAATAATCTAATCTTTTGTTCCAGATCTTAGTATTGCGTGACTTATTTTTTTTTTTTTTTTTTTTTTTTTTTGGTTTTTCGAGACAGGGTTTCTCTGTAGCTTTGGAGCCTGTCCTGGAACTCCCTTGGTAGACCAGGCTGGCCTCAAACTCACAGAGATCCGCCTGCCTCTGCCTCCCAAGTGCTGGGATTACAGGCGTGCGCCACCACCGCCCGGCTGCGTGACTTATTTTTAAACTGAAATACAATATAAATGCCATAAAGTCACCTTTTAATTTAGTGAGATTTTGTGTATTCATCATGTTGTATAACCCTCACCCACTGTCTAATTCTAGAACATCTTCATCAGCTCACTAAAAAACCTATGAACAGCTACTATATTTCAATGAAGAGGCAGGTGTTGCTTTTCACGACACTAGGCATGGGGGTACCAAAGAAAGAAGAGGAGCAGCACGGACTCTGACAAAGTGCTCCATGGGGGCAGCGAGGCTAGCACAGTCTGGCAGTGGCTTCCAGGCTAACCCTCTAAACCCTTCTGTGGGTTAAGCATTCCCATCCCTGGGAATGGTGATATCATGATTCTGCACAGACTTGGCTCACTGTGGAGGGCAAGAGGGGGAAGGAAAGAGGGCACCATGTCTGTCATGAGCATTCATCAATTCTTAGTTTCAAGATAATTACGAGATGATAGTTTCTTACTTGGCATTTTCCCCTCTCCTCATAGGATCTGACATGAAAGAGCTCAAATGCTAAACTAGCAACGTATTTATATTTACGCTATATCTGGCTCGATCAGCTGATGAAAGACCAAGTAGGACATAGTAAACGCTCTGCCAACTTCTTCACCATCAGGCTTGAAATCTGAGCTTGGAACATTACACGCTGGTGTGAATGCCCCTCCCCCAAGAAGAACTATAATCCAAGCCAGTCCTGAGACTCCAAGGGTATTACTCGGGAGGTGATAAAATGGTTACTCCAATCCAAAGCCTCAGAAGATTGCCACTGAGGCTCACTCAGGACCTTTGTGGCAATTTACTGAATGAAACAAATGCCAATAGGACCCTTTATGGTTATTTCCAGATGTCACAGGTCCCGTAGTTGTCACAGCACTGACCCTTTCAATACACAGTAGGGCTGAGGTCTCCAGAAAGGGAAGGCTATCTCATCTCTCTCCATGTTTATCCTTGCTCCTACAAACCTCATGTCTTCATTATCTCCCCAAATCCTGCAATACGAAGAAAGCAGAGCGCCACTCCTTCTTGTGTACAACAAATATTCCAAGAGCACATTATGTTTGTCATGGTTGGAAATCAAACCATGTATTCCTACTCTCCAAGAGCAAGAAATTTCAGATGTGGCCAGGGCTAAGTGACACCAATGCTGCATGTCAGGTGAGACTTGGCTGGGCAAACACTGATGGGAAGCAAGAAAACGGTGGAAGATACTGGGGACACACTTGTAGCTGAAGGCCACAATATGTGCAAGGGAACAGAAGGATGATGCACGTGGTCAGAATCACAGGAGGTCTAGTTAAGCTGCAGGGGTGTGGGATATGGAGGAGAACCTCAGAGGACCTACTCTCAGAATCCAGATTAATGGCACTTGTAAGAGTCTTGAATGCCATCCTAAGGAGTTCACAGCGAGGTAAAAGTCATTCCCAATTCTATTAGGCAGAAACATGAACCAAATTAATGATCAACAAGACTCGGAATGAGAATGGCATTCTTCAGTGACTAGATAAAGAAGTGGGACTCAGGAGGACTGGCCATGATCTGAGGAACTTTGAGCAAGCTTCCTAACTCTGAGCTTCCTCATCTCTGGGAAGATGCAACCATGTAGATGACCTTCAAGAGTCCTTGATAACTTTGATGATCACATGGGCACCATCATGTCAAGTTTAATGTTATCATTAATGTCAAACCTCTTCTCAGATCTGAACCACATGGGTTGAAAAGATGTGTGTATAGACTTAAAGATATACACACAACATCACATTGTACCCCA